AAAATCTTCAACTTGGAGGCCAAAGACAAATTCAGATAAGTCTTAAAAAGAGAGTTAGTTTCTTGGAATCAAGAGCAAGACGTGAAGGCATGTGCAGGGGAGAGTTAGCCTGCGTGGCTGTTTATTAAGATCAAAACTAGGATCAGTCAGTATCCTCTTTCTGGTAACCAGATCTAACAAGCACATTGCACTCCCTCTAGTTAAAGAGCATTTGAGCACATGTATTTATAGTCATATGTTCTTATACTTAACCAATTTTGATTTACAACTTACTAAGCCATATACATCAATACTGGCATGTCCTGGGTCACAGATGCTCACTAAAAAAGACTTAAGTACACAACTGAGAAGTATTTCTTTTACTCTATGAAAAAAAGAAGAGATGCCTATATTTATTAAACTCAAATGTTCTTCTTCTAAAAAGATATTTTCAGTAACGTATGTCCATCCCCTGTTTGTAAACAGCAAGATGACTAGTTTGGAAATATTTTTTTCCTTATTGTTCCTTTTTCATATCTTTTGCCAGGGCTACCAGAAAACATTGAAAAGCAATTTTCTTGATATTTGGTATGATTTTATGTATTTCTAGTGATCTTCCCCCATATTGGTCTGTTTTTAAACTCAGAGGTATCAGACATCAGAGATGCCTTAATAGCATAATATAATAATAATAATAATAATAATAATAATAATAATAATAGTAATATAATAATACAATCAGAGGTGATCTCCCAAAGCAGAGATTTACATGAAGCTTAATTCAGGTTGCAGATAAATCAGATTTTATGTATGATGTTGAAGAATAACAGTATTTATTTAGTCAGCTTGAAATATAAAGTGTCCATAAATAATCAAATCAGTCATGTCACTGATATGACAGCTCATTCACACTCATCTGCTAGACAAGAGTCAATTACGGCAAGCTATGCTGGAGAATTTATGTGCTCAGTCACGCCGGGATGTGATTTCCATAATTGCTAACCAACGTATCAGATATTTGGGGTGAAAATCATATCACGATACCACAGAAGCACTGATTAGAAATAAATCAGAACTCCCCTGCCCGGGAGCAAGTGACATGCGTGTTTCTCACCACCTGGGGTTGCCCGCCCACCCCTCCGTAGGTGGCCCTTCCTCCAGCTTTGAGAGGTAGCGCAGAGGTTTTGGAGATTTCTTCTTTGCTAGAGAGAGCTGTTTGGTCTCATCCAATATCCACCAG